GAATGATGCATGTTTACAAACAAATCCATTTTCTGATTTCAATGATTTAGAAGATTATTTAAATCGTTGTGAAAGTATGTTTATTTATATTAATATTTCTTTTTTTTTTATTATTCACTTTCTCTATATTTTTTAGATATGACAACAACCATTCCATGTCATCCTATACAGCAGACTCATCATCCATCTATGTACTACCCAACATATCATCCTTCTTCTCAATATTATTATCCACCATCACAATCATCAGATATGAATAATTATTATTATAATCCTACAATAGCATATCCGAGTTCTCAACAAATGTATCCATATGGTCAACCAACATCTTATTATCATCCATCAACAACATATAATAATAATGAACAATATAAATATTATTATAATTCACCACCACCACCACAACAACAACAACAATCATCACCATATATATATCCATCACAAACGAACAGTACTAATGACATTCCATTATCAAATAACCCTTCACTTCATCGAACATATCGTCAAATGAATTCAAATATACAAAGGTAAATTTTTTTCTATGATACCGAGCATTTTACTTTAATTTAAATACTATTTTGAAAAGCTAATGAAGTTTTCTATTAATTACATTACATACCAATATTTCATAGATCTACTATGACATGAAGACTTCTGAAATAATCAAACACGATAGTGAAGACTATGTGAAAATTAGTTTTAAGGGTACCATCACAAAAAAAAAACGAAATTTCTCATAACATTGCTAAAAAAATGAATTTTTTGTGATGTTAATAACTTTCTAAGGAAAGATCGTAGGAAATACAGCAGACCCTCATCTATCTCAGGATTTCATTTTGCTTATGACGATACTCTTAAAAACTAGTTTTTATACTGTCTTAACTACCGTGTTTGATTTTTCAGGAATCTCCGTCTCATAGTCCATCTATAAAATTGTTTGCTGGAATACATTTGATAGAAAAGTTCATTGTCTATTCAAAACCGTATTTGGATTTGAGTAAAATGCTTGACATTGAAAAAAATCGACATTGGTCTAATATTTTTGACTAGTAGTACTATAATAAAAAAAAATCTATTTTATCATGTCGTCTGTATAGAACTTACAGTAATTCACAACAATCAACACCATCTTGTGCTACACCAACAACACCATCAACACCAGCTGTATTTGATACAACAACTGTCGTTTCACCACAGGTAAAATTTAGTTCAAAACTCTTAATAAACATTCAATTCTACATCAAAATGATCCTAACTGCATATACTTATACAATTTTGATTAGAGAATTCGATATGTCGAACAGATTTTACTGCTTGATGTCATGTCTTTTTAATAATAGTAATATAAGAATGAAAAATGTGTTTGTTTAGATTATCAATGATGTTTTACAGACCTCATATAATTATTCTAATGGTTTATTCAGTATACGCTAGAGATATATTAAACCCATAACCAAATTTTATTCTTTCTGTACAATGAGACAGTTACTGACAGGAATAAATCAAATAAGAAGAATAATCTGATTATATGCGGATATATCATTAGATGACCTTTCTCAAGGTCGACATCAAAATTAGAAGCTTTGGTTTCACACATCTTTGACACACATTTTGATCGATAACCTGATAAGAAGTGTAGTATAACCTCTATAATAGACAACCTTCGGACTTTTCAAAAATGTTCACAATAAGGAGATAAGGTCTTTTCTAAAAGCAACATTTTTTATAAGGAGCATATATGTTTTCTAGATATCCGAACGATATTAGTGAATAAAATAATTAGCTACTGTTCATTACTGCTTCTCTGTTCATGTGTTTTTCTTCTTCAAACATTAAAAATTAAAATATAGTGAAATTTCCTTGTCGTTGACAGTATTTGAAACACTCGAAAGTATCCAGCATAGAACTATATTAAGGTGTTCACTATGGAAGTTTTTACTGTGTTCATAAAATTTTTGAAAATATGATTTATATGAGAACATAGACAAGTAATCTCCTTTGTTTGAATATACTCATCATTTTATTAGACGTTCTATCGTTATATCATTATTGCTAGATTAAATAAAACAATTTAAAATATCGAATTGTTCACTCAAAGTATGTTCAATTATAATTAGTTAGAGATCATTTTGGCATAGAAATTATTTAATGTAATATTATGAATTTATTAAATATACGCACGGGTCTTATTTTTTTTATAGTCATCTTCAGCAGCAATAGATAATTCAAATTAATGTAAACATGAATTGCTATCACTGCTCTATTAGATTTTTTTTCGGGTTCAATTAACTAAAAAAGCCTTTTCTTTATTTCTTTTAGTCAAAATCAATGAATACGACAATTAATAATAACAATTATCCGCCATAGGTTACAAGAAAAACATTCATCGTACGATATTATTGTCGTTGTATTCTGCATCAGAATACGCCAGTTTCAGTTTTTTTTGTTTTTTTTTCTTTTCTCTATTCGAGTTGCTTTCTTCGTTTCTTTTTTTCACTTATACACAGGTGCTTGTTTCATTCAATATGGTTGTCGTCATTATTTCTTTCTATTATTTTCCCTTGTGTTTCATATACTTGCACGCTGTAAATTTCTGCTATTAGTACTTATTTATAGGTTGCTTCCCGTTTTGTCTATCTATTTATTTTAACTTTTTCATTTGCGTATCTTCTATGCATGAGATAATATTCTGTTGTTATTATTGTTGATGTTGTTGTTCATTTTCATTTAAGGCACGTATATAACAAGTATTCATGCTTGTCTTTTTCTTTCATTAGACTAGTAAGAACAAGTTTTAGGCTATAAGAAAAACCAACAGTAAGATTCTTTTATGTATACTGTATATACGTTTTTTTCCTGTTTCTCTCTACGAACATACATCGACAAGAAAGAGCACATCCAAATTTATTGTTATTTCGTTTTTCGTATACGAGCAAAACAAAACAGTTTTTCTTTTTTCTTTTTTGTTCTTTACATTCAATAATTGATTTGTAGAAAGCACAAAACACATACTTATATTACTGATATATATATATCCATTATATAAATACACTTCCAATTCTTGGTTTCTTCCTTTCCTTCTTTTTTTTCTGTTTATTACCGGTGATAAATCCACCTTATATCCTTGTTCTTTCTTTTGTTCTATTGATTTTGTCCGTCCTTTCCTTGTTTGTATACGAAAGAAAAGAAAATTAACAAAAAAGAACAGACATACGTTTATTTGATTGAAAACATTCCTTTTTTTTTTAACGTCGATTATTCGTAGATCTTTATATAATGAAAGAAAAAAAACCACCACAACAACAATAATAATAACATAAAAAAAAAAACCAATAAAGCAATGTTTCTCTGTTTGTTTATCTTTCACTATTGGTTCTATGTTCTTTTTTTTCTTTCATTTGTGTGCGTGTATCTATCATATCTATTGCATCATGCTTCATCTCTTTTCGTTTCTCTTTTTTTTTCTTTTTTGTGTATTTATATTTTGAAAGAAAACTAAGCATACGACAACAAAAAAAATGCATGTGTTGTTTACTGTTCATTGAGATATTTAAAAATAACACTGAAATCTTTTTTATTCAGTCCATTTGAACAAAGCTGATTATAAAGTTCAGTAGCTTTTTCTGTTAATGGAGTTGAAGCTTTAGCTTGTTTTGCTGCATCTAGAAAAAAAAACAAATCATAAGATTTAGTAATAAGAAGAAAAAAAAACGAGAAATTAAATACCAAGAGCCAGTAAAAGATCTTTAGTCATCAGTTCACTAGCAAAACCACCATTGTAGTCATTGCTAGATGGTACGTTAGCAACAACACCAGGACACGGATTATATGTTTGACTTGACCAGCATTGACCACTTGAAGAATTGATCAGTTTAGCTAACACATCTTTATTGAGACCGAGTCTTTTCAAAAAAGAAAGATTAGATTGTTTAGAATTATAATGGTTAAAATAGAAATTGCTTACTTAATACCGAGATTCATTGCTTCAGAAGTACCAATCATACTTAAACAATAGAACAGTTTGAAATTTATTATTCTCTTACATTTCTTACCTAATAGCTAAGAGGAGATTATTACAAATTTTAGCCACTAAACCACTACCATTTGCACCAGCATGAACAATATTTTTGCCCATTTTACCAAGAATAGGTTCCACAGCTTTAAAATCATTTGGTTCACCACCAACCATAAATGTTAATGTTCCTTTTTGAGCACCAGTTGTACCTATAATATTTAAAGATCAATCAAAATATTGTAACAAGATATATATATTACAGACCGCCTGAGACAGGAGCATCGACAAAATTTAATTGTTTACTTCGGGCCAATTCCGCCATTTCCTTAGATGTTCGTACATCAATTGTACTACAATCAACAATATATGTACCTTTTTTAGCCGAACTAATACATTAATAAAAAACAAAATCGAAACTTCAGGAAAACTATTTCTATCTATCATACGGAAAAATACTGGATTGGCATACATCACGTACAATTTTACCATTAGGTAACATTAAAACAACAAATTCTGAATTTGCCACTGCCTTTTGTGGTTCGAAGGCTATTTTCGCTTGTTCTAAAACAATGAAATAGACCTATTTTTCATACAACAAAAAAAAAGAATTCTTTACTTTGTTCTTTAAAATCATCAAGTGCCTGACGATTCGTGTCAAAAACTGTTACATGATGATTAGCTGCAATTAAATTTGTTGCCATATGTTTACCCATATTACCAATACCAAGAAAACCAATGGATGCCTAAACAAAACATGTCAATTATATTTTATTTTATTTTTTCATTTATTAATATTGTAACATACATATCGAGCAAATGATAGATGTACCATAATGAATAACAGGAAAGAATCTCGAAAAAAGTAAAATAAACAGAATTAAAAAAAGCCATCGATTAACCATATCCCATAAAACCCTTTATTTCATTCATTAATATAACACACAAAATCCGAGAAAAAAAACCTAAAAATTAAGATGTCTATGTATCAAATATATTTGTAAAAGTCAAGCACATTAATTGGCTGTTGGCGATTATGATACAATTCCCAAGTAAAAACTATCATAATACTAAGTAAAAGACCATTGAGAGCACCATCAATTATTTGTGATACTAAAATAAATCGAAATAACTTTTAGAAACGAACGTTTTTTTTTCAAAATTATATATATATACAAAGTCCTTCTGCTTGATCGTCATTATTATTTTTTGTTTCAGTATTTTCTTTATTTTCATTATTTTTATTTTCATTTTCATTGATTTCTTTTTGTTGGTTTTCCTTTTCTGGCACTCGCTTTTGAGCATTTTCAATACGTTTCAAACGTTTTTCTTCTCGTTCTTTTTCAACTTGTTTTTCACGTTTTTTAGCTTTCGCTTTTTCATTTGCTTGTTTCTTTTTTAATTTAATAGCTTGTTCTTTTTCATATTCTGCTTTAAGTGTTTCAATATATTGCAGAACTTTTCCAGCACATAATCGGCATTCTTTTTTATTTAAACATTTACCAGATTGATTTTGTAAATCAGCATCAAGAGGATTATTTTTTAAATCCAAATACTAAGTAAAATAGAAACAATAAAATGAATAATTATATATAAAGACAGTAATTTTACTTCTAATTTCGTTAATTCACAAAAAGAAAGTGGTAAATTTGTAATTTGATTATCGAATAAATCAAGTTGTTTTAATGATTTTAACTGACCAAAATTTTCCGGTAACTTTGTCAGATGATTTTTTGATAAATCAAGTGTATGAATACCTTCAAGTTTAATAAAGTCATCCTAAAAATTGTTGAAGAAAACTCAATATATATTTTATACAAGAAAAAAAAAAGAATACATCCGGGTAATGATTCAATTTGATTATTAGATAAATCGATTGATTTAACTTTACGTAAAGCCAGCTGAAAAGATAACCAAAAAAATAAATTAGAAAAAATATCAAATGAAAATAAACGTACAATATCATTGATATTAGGAACTACTTTTAAATTGAGAATTGATAAATCAAGTCTGCCATCTTCGGACAGATAATCTTTTAGTTTTAAATTTGATTTCGAAGACATTTTTTGATAGCTTATCGAAAATTGTATGAAATATCTATTATAAATCGGTTTGTAAGTTAAGTGAACCGAAGCAGTAGAATAGAAGAGAAATTTTATTGGAATATAGAGTACTCTATCAGTATGCGGCACACGTTGATTGTACAATCAAACTTTACTTTTTATTAAATAGTATTATATAAAAATATGTTGAACATAAATTCACATTTTTACACAGTATTTACGAGAAAATAGGTAAATAGATTAAAAAAAGTAACGGCATCTGCAGGACCTGCTGCAAACAAACGAGATCGGATGCTATGACTAACAGCATCGACTGGATAATGTTATGGAAGTTTTTCGATTTTGTAAAAACAGACAAACATTCCCATAGCAATTATGGTTGCTAGAAGACAATATATTTTCTGCAATTTACGCTAAGAATTCGTGAAAATATTCCTTAGCTTGACTGTCATTGATTGTCAGCTGCTTTGAAATTAAAAATAAGCTTGTAAATGGTCACTTTTTAACGTAGAGGATGCTGTATTGCATTTCAACTCCAAATGACTTGACTTTTTCATGGTAGTATTTAATTTTGTATTTTGATGAATCTTTTTTGATTAATGATCTTTTCAAATGAACCTTAATGTCTGACTAACATATATCAAATGGAAGACCAGAAAATTACTGCAGATTTCTGCATATTTGATTTTTTGTTTAACTTCCAGATAAGATAGATTAACAGAGATACTTTAATCCACAATATTATGAGTATATGAGATTTTAAAATTTATTTATCACGCGGGTCATTTCAATGACGTTCTATAGAAAAGATATGACGCTTATGTCTCTATCAAACGACAATGACAACGTTGATATATAATGTTGTGTATTGGTGGAATAGTCAACTACAATGAATATGAGGTATATGGTCATCGACATTGTATGGGTAGTCGAAACATTTTAGTTCACCCTCAGATCCGTTGAACCAACTGAAAGTTTTCTAGAAAGCTGCGCTCATGTATCCATTATAATATGCGACCGTCGTTATTGAAAAATACAATGAGTTAAGATTACAATGCATGAATGTACAATGGATATATACAATTTCTGAGATTCCTGATTGACTCCATGTCTGTATCGTTCTGCTCCATATCTATGGCAAATAAACAGATTTGCATCCAACACCCAAATTTTATAGGCTGCATCCCTACAGTTGCATCGAATCATCGATAATCAAACAGGCATTAAAATCGTAAGATCTGATCACTTGTTCACGTTTTAATTTGTTTTGTACGGGAGAAAAATCCTCTGTCAAATCTGGCAGATACATTTCAAACCAGTCATAATGGATCGAATTCATGTCAGAAAATGTTCCAATGGTAGCTAATGTATTGTTATGAAAGATTTGGATGAGTCTTACATATAAATTCCGTTCGAAAGCATACTAATTGGAAGTGTCGATCGGCAACAAAGTTCAACATCGTTGTATCAATTATGGTCTGTACTGATTTCTCTCGTGACGATGGCTTTCTCAAGTTTTCGCTGCCTAGCAGATGAAGTAATATGATGTGACCAGCATAGCAGAGATGCCAAATTACATTCGTAATACGAGCATAACAACTTACTCTTCGACTAGCTGTTTTGTACTGACAAGAAATAATGCTTGTACAGAATTATTCGTTAGTAAGCATACGATTCATGTTTTATACATATTCGTGTTTGAATATCAACTTGAAATACTAGAGCAAGGCATATCGTCAACGGAGTTATCACTCCCTAGAATAGAGTTATCATCAGTATGGAAATACTCTTCTATATATGTTTGTGTACGCTTAATCGGTTAGATTCCGAAAAATATTAGTCGTAAGGGATTAAGAAACATTATTGGAAATTTGAAATCTATGTCTTTGATTTACTTCCAACATGAATGAGTTGATATGCTTCAAAGCTATGGCAATGGTTCGACGACAACTCGATCTTGCTAAAAAATCATGACTTGTTCTATTCTCTCATAGTATGTTAAGTTATCCTTTTTTGTCGAAAATGCACATAGCCTCGGCACATATTTCAGTTGTGAGTCACATTTGGGCAAAATATTTCGAATAAGACTACTGTCGTTTGTGGTAGTTTAAAACGGATCAATAGCGTTGTAGAGCTCATTAGGCTCTATTTGGTTCCATCAAGTAGAGGCTCGTGTTTGATTAGGGTGCAGATCGTGATGAAAAATGCAAAAATAAAGCAGTTTTGAGGTTTGGACTCACAGTTTTTTTGCAATTATTTTCTGGTTAATTTGATGAGAATCACAATTGAACTAGTGCATCTTACAGGGATCATCTGGTTCTACATGTGTACATTAAAAGAAAGATTGGGTCTAGTGATGCAGGGAATCGTCATCAGAAATACTCGAATTGCAGCTTCGGATATTCTATGTGATGAACCCTTTGCTTTCTGACAAAAACTGTATTACATTTTGGGAATCTACGAGTCAATTAAGAATAGTCTATGATAACCATCTCTGATTCGATACGATAGATGAAACAAACACAGACTGGTCTGTTGTTTTTATGTAGTACTTCCACTTGACTTCCACTTCCACTCTAATAGAGATACGATGTACGAAAGATCACAATATACGTAAATATAGTACAATGATATATGATTAGGTAATGTAGGCGATCATGTACGATCAACATACTATTACTTGATCGAACGAAATGTAATAGCAATGGGAAGGTAAAAAAGAAAAAGGAACTTGTTCCTGGAGTAATACAGTCTTCAAACTTAGAACATACTTAATAAAGTCGAAACCTGTAATAAACTCTAAATCAATACATCATCTTTCGCTATGATCAAGATGTGGCCTGAGAAATAAACGAGTACACTACCACTAGGTGAAACTGAATTATGACGTTCCCAGTTGAGTTTAGTGTGTGTCGTTTTCTATTCTCACTGCTTGATTAGACTCAATGCTCATACCTGTTACTTAACCTTTCTTTGTCCTTCTCTTGTCATCTCTATTTATTCCCTCTACTGAAAGGAGGGTCATACGCTGAGTGAGTTATCTTCGTTCGTTCATATGCATGTATGTATGTATATTCGTTCGTTCATTAGAGCACCGGAGGTGAACTGAGTTCATTCATTAAACTAAGTGAGACAAAATTTGACCCAAGATTTTTCGGGTCGAGGAATTCAAATCCGTGATCAGTTTTTGAAATTTTGTACTGTATGCTGCCGTGAATAAGACACTTTGTTTCAGAAACAATTTGTGTCAAAACTTATCGATTCACCGAATGAGAAGAATAGTTTGGAAGATATTCATTGCTGAGTTCGAAATATCGCTGATAGAGTGAAGGGTTCTGTTGAGTTTGCATCCAATGCATTATGTTTTGCAGAAGTTTAAATAAGTTCGTATTGATCTCAGAAAACTTTGTTTTCCAATATGAGATCGATTTTAGCGCGCATTTTGCGACTCATTTCAGTGCAGACGAAGCACAGTTGGGAAAACTGAGCTTCAAAATAAGCCGTTCTAAGAAAGTTTGTTATCGTTGCTGCAACTTCAGATGAAAGGTGCTACCCGTCCAGAAAAAGTATCTGCGACTTCATTCTCAGGTCACATGCTGCTTCAGCGCATGCGCATTCAGTTATTAAATGTAATACCAGCAGATGGTTGCAACTATTAATTTTTCTTTTTGTACTAATGCATGCATGAAGTTTTTATTTTAATAGATTACTTATAGAAAGATNTTTTTTTCGGTGTTCCTGAGGGGGACCACAGCTTTCATTTAAAAACATACCGTAAAAGTGCAGTATCTCCGTAGCAATAAGCTAGCAGCCCGAACTTTTTTCAGGGTATTCATAACTCTTTTGTACCTATATAATTCACATAGCCTCAACGCAAAAGCGATTGATCAGTTGGGGACCTTCCCTCGTGAGTAGGGCAGACCGATTGTTCTGATATTCATACTGACACTGGACTGACGAATTGTCATACTATTCCGTCTGTGGGTGGTGATATTTGACATGGTCAACTTTCAACTAAGTTTCATTACATGTCCTCTATGAAAAACTAAAATCACAAAAAGCTATTAAGACACACTGATAACGCCGATCTACCGGAAGACTGATCGGTTTAAAATCCATTCCGATATCAAAATGGCTAGTAACTGGTACCGTTTTCATCTCTGGTGCGTGCCAAAGAAAAGTGCAGGACAACTATCATACTGATTCTGCAGTAGATTTTGATTCAGTGACGTGCCCAGAGGAAGGAACCAATCCTCCCAACCCCTGAGTAAGAAAAGTACCTGGATGGGATTAGGGCAAAAGAAAATTTCGCAAAGTGAAAACCTTTTCTTTACCATAGTATTTCCACATTTGAATGGATCAACCCCTCCCCATCCCCTCCTGAAAGAAATTCATGAACACATCACTGCTTTGATCTCACAGTGATATCTGTCACGGTCTGTGATAGTCCTTTAATGATGTCGGTCACGTCTATGATAAGCCGTTGCTAAGGTGTCTGTCACATCTGTGAGTAAGAATGAGTTCAAATTTCAACCTATTGTTTCAACACTCCTTCTAGATCGTGTTTCTCAAAAGAACGGAAATAAAAAGATGAATACATCTTTAAAATACATACAACGGCTTGATCAATAGTAATGAACAATCGACCATATCGATCAAGTGAACTATATGAAAGAAAATTTTTTTTATTTCCTGAAAAAAAACCGATGAATTTACTTACTAAAATTCATCTTTTAAATTTTGCCAATATTTTTTAACTATATGAATAATACGTGTTGAATAGTTTAATATTCGACATTGATTTGATGATAATAAATTATCTTTTGAACAATCGATCGAGTCTATAAAATAAAATATAAGGACATGAATTATTGTTAAGAAAAATTTTACTTTGATTATTTTCTAACTGACATGGAACAAAATTTTGAAGAAACATTTCATATGAAATACCTTTAGCAGATGGTTGACATGAGTTCCATAAAGATTCGAGACAAGAATTGTTAATTAAAATGCCTGAACTAAATTATATAAAAACATATTATAGCTTAATGTTTTTTTTTTGATATTTCAAATGAATACCTTCGTAAAATGTGTTCAAATGTTTGTTTATCGATAAACTTATTTTTTTTACAATGCTGATGAATAACAGACATATTATTAATAAAATATTTTTGTAAATAAGGTTTAATTTCATCAAGATATAATAGCTTTTTCTTTGAATATATATTTGAAACTGATTTCCAATTACGTAAATTATTAAAAAACGTAGAAAATTCATTGGATTGTTGATGAATAGGTAATTGATTGTCAAGTATATTATTTTTACCAAAAGTTCTCATTGTATTCAGATTTCTTATGATGCTGTTATGATGAATGTTCTATACATGAAAATTTTTCATATAAAAAAAGACTTAGCAACTGATAAAAGCTTTTATAGTTTTCTAATTAAACAAAAATACATGTATTCGTTTTTTTTTATTTACTGTTATATAAATAGATTTTTATTGGTTATATTGTCAATTAAAAATCAACATTGACTTTATTTTCAGAGTTATTTATTATGTTTGATTAAAGACCGATAAAAAGCAAATTAGGTTTTCTTGTATTTACAACCAAAAAAAAAAAAAAAGAAAAAAGGAGAAGAATTCGTATTTATTTTTCTTCTTTCGTTTGATTTTTAAAGCTCAGTAGGTACACGATGGCAAATTTCCATGCTCTGTTTATTGTCTGATTGTTTTATATCAACAGCATCGGGATCTCGACATAGACTGGTAACATTTTTTACATTATCTAGATTAAGTATTAATGTATGCGCATGATTTGTTGCATGATGTGGTTCAGGATCAAGATATTTAGGCAAATATTCATAACATCGCCAACCACATTTTTCATAAAATTCAAGTGCAATTGTATTTAATGTATTTACATGTAAAGATATATATTTAATACCATTTTGTCGTTCATCTAATGCACGACGAACAATTTGTTGTAAAAGATGTGTACCTAAACCTTGTCGACGATATTCTTTTCTTGTTGCCATATAACATATATAAAGATTATTGAATGAATTTGTTTGTCTTGTTAATATTGTCATTGCACTTATATTAGCTGTAACTGATGTTGCATTAAGTGGAATGAATACATATACAATACCATGATTTTGCATACAATTCATGATTGGATACCAAAATCTAGCATTTGGCATTTCAAATAGATCACGTAATGTTTGTTGAAAGAAAAACCATCGTTGATAACTGTCATACAATATAGAATTATTGGATAATAAATTTATTTCAAATAAACGATAGGCATTTTTATAATCATCACCAATACGAGTAAATTTAATATTGGTTGCTCGATCATATAATTGAGGTTTTGATGACATTCTAATTTGATATATTAATATTAGAGACGAAAAATAGAAAATTACATTCTATTTTCTTACTTTAGTGTATAGGGGCAACATAAGTATTCTTTACTGCATTTTCCTTTTTTGTTATAACACGATCGACCAGGTGTAGAACATCGTGCTGAAAAAGTAAAAGTAGATACGTTAAATATCGAAAAAGCTGGTCGACCATTAGAGCAATAAGCAGAATAATCAAATTTACAAGGTACAATAACGATCAACAATAATAACGACAACCAAACAGATAGAAACATTGCCTTTTTATTCAATAACTTATTAAACTTGTTCTATTTCTGAAATAAGCAAAGAAACTTGATCTGCGAACACACCATTACCAAAAAAGGAATAAAGTTTCAGTCGGTACATTTTTAGATAAAAATAACTCATTTAATGAGTTTCATTGTATTGTTACCCTGAAATCCTACTCAAAGATCTATTTCACTAAAGAAAATTTTTGAAATTCTTTTTCATTATTCGTTTATGATAGTTTCATAAACACTGTTATATAGTGATTATTCTATTTGTTTACAGATATGTTTTTTTTTCTTAGTCATACATCTTATACGAGAAACATGGACAGACGAAGGAAGGCCAAAACGCATTTCGTTTTCTCTCTATGATTGTTTACGTCGTTCTATTATTCGTTATTTTCTCGATGGATAGTGCATGCAAAAAAGAATAATTTCATACATTGAAACAATGGATCAAATCGATAATAAATCGAATACGGATATTCGACAACATGCATTATGTGATATGATGAAACAATATATTAGTAGTGATTTATCATTTCAATATTCAGCTAATTGTAAGTGTCAAAATAAAAATTATTATTTATCTTATTTTGTTTTGTTTTTTAAATTCTCTAGATTCGGATCAATTTCTTCAACAAAATAATAATGAAGATATTTCTATAGTACAGTCATCAAATATAGAACATGAACAGAATGAAAATGAACAATTATCAATGCCTATGATATATAGAAAACGTATACGAACAAAATTTAGTCCAGAACAGGTATAAAAGAAAAAAACTTGAAAATTTTCTCTTTATTATTTATTTTAAAATTCAAAAAAACAAAATTAGCTAAATGTACTCGAATCTACTTTTCAAAAACATCGTTATCCAACTGTTGATATTGTTGATGAACTTGTTGAACAACTTAATTTACCTACACAAAAGATAACGGTAATATAAAATAAAAAATATTTTATACTTCTTTTCTTTTCTTTTTTTTTCTGCTTAGATTTGGTTTCAAAATCGTCGAGCTCGTTTAAAAAAAAGTCAACAAAAATTTGATGATCAATATTCTTTTGATAAAGATAATCAACAACAATATGATAGTGGAATTCATTTGGTATAAGAAATAAACTAATAAAATATTTAAAATCTATGTTCTCTTCAGGATGATGAAGTCTCGCATGATTCTTCAACAAGTTCTCCAGCTAATTCATTAATTCAATTGCCACCAGTACCACCACCACCACCACCATTTATCACTCCACATGCATCGTATTATTTACCTCATCCTCATTATTCGTTTTATAATCCGATGTGGTCAAATTTTCGGTAATAAAAATTTAAATCAGAAAGCAATTTTTTTCTCTATTCTTTTTTTTTTAGTTATCCATGTCCAACACCTTCCTTCCAACCGACAACGGTTGATGCTACTAATATACCATATAACCTAATGAGTTATCATTCGCCTGAAATATCTTCACCATTTGTTTTTCAAAATATGAGTAATTATCAACATCAAAGAGAATTTAACGACGAACTATAAATAATAAATTATTAACTTTTTCTTTTTCTTTTTGTTCTATCTTTGTTTTCTTTATTGTATCTGTAACCTTTTTCTTTTTTTGGTATTATTCAAAATTTCCACTTGACATACAAATTTTCTGTTTGGTTGATTTTGTAATGATAAGAAGAAGTATATTTATGTATTAAGAATTAAAATAAAAATTTATTTATAAACGAACAATTTAATAACTAATGAACACAGTTGATTAAAATCAAAAGATTTTATATGCAGGTTTTAATTCTACTGACTTAACGTTTATGTCATTTTTTGTAGATTTCTAGAGAATTTATTAATTTAAAAAAAAAAAAAAATTTTACTTTAAAATTTTTAAATTATAACAAAGTACATATATCTTGAGGTACCAATGTAATCTTTATATTTTTTGACCTTCATATTATTGTCATAATAGACGAACAAAAATAGTCTCGATGATATCATCTCGCGATTTAATGAGATTCTAATTACGGTAGCAAAAGGAAAAATATCACTGTTCCGGATAGAACTGAACAATAAGGAAAATGATATAACATGATTTTCATTATTTATTTTGATATTAAAGAAAATAATAATGAGAAAATTCTATAGGCTGAAAAATGCCTGTAATAGTTCTTCCGTAATTAATCAATCTTTTGATGGAAAAATGTCCAGAGAGACTAAGTACATCCAATAATAGTTATAGTTTTAGGCTACTAAGAAATTTTAATAATGTAGATTTTATTCAAAACCAATGAGTTCATGCAAATAGGATTTAGGATAAAAAGTTCTGAATTATTTTTTTCGTTGTTTTTAATTAATGAAAATATACGGGTATAAAAATTTTCTTACATCACTTTATATTGTTTTATTATTTTCATAATGATATTCACTTTTTTTTTCTGTTCATGAATAGTTTCACGAGAAAATTCGTATACAATAAAGTAAATAGTCTTATAATAATCTGTTTAGTTTTGATAAAAATCATAAATATGAAAAAATTTGAATTTTTTCTGATTCTAAATTCTATGTAAAGCATCTTAAATAAAGATAGTTTATAGCATAAATATTTGAATTTGTAATCACATAACCTGTTTATTTATGAAATAAATCTAAAAGAAATGTTACTATTTGATTTTTCATGTTGCAATAATATCTAATAGGCATATATATATACATTTCTATTATAGCAGATTATAATTTTATTATTTTAGTAGTTTATTTATAGTATGATATGATATTGATGAATCTTCTATCTTTTTCTTGTTAATCAAATTTTATTCTATTTGTTTTAATAAAATAATTATTAAAATAATGATACATATGTATCATTAGTAAAATATATTCAGTGCTAAAATTACATATGCGTATCCTCATCTGTTGGTAGTAAGTACGGAAAATTCTTTATTCACCATTTATGTTAATTATTATCAAAAATAGATTTTTTGTTCATTGATCTGTGATCAATACGGAAACGAACCATTTGGTAACCGAGCTTCCGTATCCAAGAATAATAGAAATTTTTAATCGACTTAAGTGTTTCGCTTAGTATCAAAGTACTAATAGACTTTTTTCGTATATATAATATTTTCAATTAACACTTATACTAAGACTTTTTCATCCGAAGAATTTTTATTTATACTATTCGATTGAATTACTAACATAAAATATACATATTTAAATGCTAACAATTCCAAAATAAGAACATCTGTTTCATGTTATTGACTTTGTTCGCATTTATTTGTATATTTTAATTTGGTACTTTCATGTCTCATTCGACGAGCATGGCATCCAGCATCAACGATTTTCTTATCATTTAGCAGTCATACTTCTTAAGGATATCATTGAAACCTATATTCAAACTGATGGATTATATTATCCTCTTGATTTTGTTCTGATCTTTGGTGCAAATATAGTAAACCCAATGAAAAACAAAACTTAAGATGCGATCTCTTTTTCTTTTTATCATCAATTATTGATGACATTTATGTGCAGTTTTTTCTAGTGAATAGACACATCGAGTTACTGTCGACTGGTTCCGCCCTAAGCCTCATTTTGATTGCCAGACGTCTGACGTTTATTAGAGATGACGAACGAAACCCCATTCCAGTTTCGGCTGAGTCAAGGCTCTGCTAACTTCTGATTTTATCTTGTTTGTTGGTTATTATGTGATCAAAAGAAATAACATTAAAGAAAAAAAAAGATAAAGATGATGAACGAAAAAAAAAACAATAGGAATTAAAAGTAAAAAGAAATCCTGTTTATTGTTTAGTTCTAAAGCTGACATTCAACAGCTGCATCACGTTGAGCATTATTATCATTTTTAAGGTTTGTTCGTATTGTTGTTAATTTTGATTCTTTATCACCACCTACAACACCCGGAGTACGTTTTAATATTGTTATATCAGTTCGAGTTCTTTTTCCACATAAACATTTAGATTTAATAGGCCGTACCAAATAACAACCTAACAAGAAAGAAAGAAATAAATAAAAACATATAATAGACAACATTATTCCTTAAAAATAAAGAAACTATTAGTGAATAATTCTTTTTACATATACACATATGGATAATTACCATATAATAATGGATCTAAAACTGAATTCGATACAGCAAGCATCATAACAATAAGAAGCGAACGTTCATCACGTGATGGTTCATTATAAATTGATATATTTAAAGGTGTAGTTAGTGTAAAATTTGTAGTTTGATTTGATAAGTTCTCATGATCAATACGAGCATCAGTTATAAGAAGAAAAAAGACGATACAATAATAAGGTGTCCAACAAAGAATAAAACAAATGACTAAAACAAAAAAAAAAAATAAAAATAAATCAATAAAACATCGTTCAACTTTGTTTTCTTTTAAAAAAACCTTTACCAATTACAACAGTTAATTTTAATGTTTTTAATTTTGCTCGTGTTATTGTTGTCATATTATGTGTATTGATTTCTTGTTGTACTACAGATTGTCCAGGTGATCTTCCAGTTCCTCCTCGTCCTCTTTCATGGGAAAAACTTTTTGTTGTACTTGACTTTAATAGATAATTTGATTGATCGACATCATAACTACGTGTACTAACATTATGACCTTTAACAAATCGAAATGTTCGTCGATCGCATCGCTTTTGTAAAACATAGAGAATACGAAAATAAGCATAAAATATAGCTATTAAGGGTGCTATATATGCAAATATAGCAACAGCTATATTATAAGCCAAACGTTTTGCTGGATCGTCTGAGAGTATATCTCCACATATTTCACGACATAATTCTTCATTTGTTAATCGCTTAAAAATGATTAACTATTTTCATTAATATAAAAAAATAGATATTTTATATCAAAAATAAACTATAAAAGATTAAAACTTACTTGTGGTATACATGCTACTGCAGATATTAACCATGAACCAACAACAAATAATTTATTTCGTATATTTGATTGATATACGGTCAACGGATGTACAATCGATAAATAACGATCAAGTGATATACCAATTATTGTACATGATGATACATAGATGCCAAGACCTTTAAGTGCAGCAATCGTTTTACATATTTCATCATTATGCCAACGACCAATAGTATAAGCATAAATTTCACTTGGAATATAAACAATTGTTACGAATAAATCAGCGGCGCATAAATTTAATAAAAGTATATGATCACGAAAACGACGTCGAGAATAATGGAATAATTTGAAAAGAACACATAAATTAGCAGTTAAAGCAAGAATAAATAAAAAAACATAGCCAAGTGCTAACCAACGATAGAAAGGTGCATCAGGGCCCCGTGTTCCTAGCTTAGGACAGGTAATTTCGGATAAAGAAGATGTGTTATGTAACATTATTAAAGTAATATTAAGATAAAATTTCTCGTTGTATTCATCCAGCGAATTTTAAAAATGTAAATAATATATTTTCTCAATATTAATCTTTTTCTTTCTTGTCTATCTTCTTTTCTCTCTCTTTCCTTTTCTCTGTTTCTCTCATGTTCTATTTTTTCCAATTCTCTGGTTTTTTTCCCCGTCAAAAACTATAAGACATTAACCGTCGAACATTAGAAGTCCGTTTTTGATAATAATGAGGGTGCATAGTGCATATGATCAATCAAAGAAAAAAAAAAGAGAAGGGGAACAGCTTGGGATTCTTTCTGAACAGGAAACAAAATCAATTACGAGTGACAGCATCTCCTAATAGCCCATCGATATGAAACATATACAACAGATAAAGAAAGATTCCCAAGTAATAACAGCCATCCAAGATATCTGTCTATAAATAAATGATAATAGGTAGAAAAAAAAGAATGTAAATTCGCTTGAAGAAAACAATTTAAGACATTGCCACCTACAGTTCAGTTATAATTTCAAGTAACAGAATATTAAAAGAAAGTACCTATTTTTTATTTTAGAAAATATTTCTATCTATTGAAATTCTCTTTTCCTTATCATCATTATTATCACTGTTGTGACGAATTGATCGTCAGACATTCAAGCATACATTATTACTTTCTTTTTCTGCTTTCGTTGTTTCGTTTGAAATATACTATATTATTATCTTGGTAGATACCACCAAGAATAATAGTTGTTAGATATGCATATACTGATTGATCAAAATAGTAACACCAAATACTCTCGAGCACTAAACTCATCATGTAAAGAGTAATAGAAAATTATGACGAGAGAAAACAAAAAGAAATAGACAAGTGTCAAAATGCAGATGTATTAAAAATTATAATGACTTCAATAGTTCATACTTAATGAAAGCTTCATTCTCATTAATTAAACATCAAATTAATTTCAGAAATAAACTGAAGAATATACTTCAGTACGATAAAGTTTATAAATAAACAGAAACTATGTAGCACGCACATTTATAGCATAAAATGAACCGAATGGAAATTTGTTTTTTTATAGAAAGCAAAAAAAACAACCATTCTTTCATCTGTTAAGCATGACCTCAACATCTTTTTATTCTTTTGAAATAAATTATTTATATAGATATTATCTTTTCTTAGTGACGGGAATGTCTTCATGTATCTGATGTTGAATTACAATATTTTTTTTTAGTCAAAAGCACGCTTCTTTTTATAGAATATATCAACGTATACAAGAAAAAAACAACTTGTGCATAAAAAAAAGTAATTATTAATTTTAATGGGTTTTATCTTTATGAATCTTATTTAAAATGATTACTTTAATGAATTACATATCATCTGTTTCATCAATACTTCTGTTAACAGTGTTTTTATTATATATCTAAAGTTAGCTTCGTTAAATTTGTATAAAAATTAATCAAATAAAACGAATCTATCGAAGCAATTTTATTCACTAACTTTTTGTTAATTTATACTTGAAAACAAATCGACACCTTATAACAAAAACAAAAAAATATACATAGACTATATATCTTTTTTTAAAAAGTAACAAATTTTTTTTTTACATTTTGATAAAGTTACAATTTTGACTACACATGTGTTTTTCAATTTCACATTCGTTTTGGTTTTCGAAAATCTCACATATCTTTCAAGCAAGTTTTATATAATGTAAAATATTACTTTTTAGTATTATGTTAATAGAAAACATTTATGTATTATATTGTGCAAGAAAAAAAAACTTATAACACTCAATAGTTTCGAAGAGCAATATCAATAAATAGAAAGACATACGAGAAAACAAATGGCTCTATCGGGCTAACAATCTTTTTTCCAAGTAATTCAGAACATTCTTAAACCCAGCATAGAAATATATAGAATTATCATAAGACGAAAGTATTAGGCCGGATATATCTTATGACAGATGAAGATATGTTGCATATATGCATCAAAAAATAATAATCATAGGCAATCTATTATTAGCAGTATGCGATTAGATCATAGTGACATTGAACGTCAAAAGAAAAAGTATTTTATTATTTCTTTTTTTTTGAATTTATTTCGTTCTTTATTGTTTTTTAATTTATGACGATGACAAACTTAATCGGTTAGAAAAAGAAGTAATTTAATTTTTTTAGTTTTTACTGCATGTGTTCAAACATTGGATAAATTGTGCGTAGTTGGAAATTATGCCACGCATATGTACTTCACCATCATCACGCTCTTCGCCAACTGGTGAAACACATTTCATAACACAATTCAAAGTGGGTATAATAAAGCGAGGTTCGCCTAATTGAACCAAGTTGGATTCAGCATCGACAGGTACAGCCAATGATTTATGTGCCAAAACAAGACAAATCAAAGAAATAATGGCAAAAATAAATTTCATTGTTGTTTTTTAAACAGAAAAACAATCGACAATCCAATGATAAATGTAATAGGTGAATACAATTTATATGCATATTTATATATCAATTAAATAAAAGATTCTATTTTGCTTTCTTTTTTTCTCGTTACAAATACTAATACTTTTCTTTCAATGAGATTTACAATAGAGACGCAATTTAGTTTTCAATTTTCGTTTCTAATTCACAAATCAACAAACGATTTCCCTCCTCCTATAACGTTCGAATTAAAGTTATACTAAATCAAATTTCAATTTTCATTCTTAAAACTTAAAGGTACCAAGCAAACTAAGGAAAAAGAATTTTCCTTTTGATTATTTGTTTTTTACATTACTAACAAAAAAAAATGAATTAATATGTAATATGAAATGGAATTATATATTTTCAATAAGACAAATCTTATAAAACTCTCAAACAAACAATATAAGTTAATTTGTTTTTCGTCAGTTATTATACGTGACATTTTGTCAGAAAAGAAAAACATAACAAGGAATAAATGAATACGTGTGGCATAAAAAAATTGTCCGACAGAATAAAAACAAAATATTGTCAAATACAATCTTTTTCTGTCATTATTATTTTGACTTTGATTTGAATTTATACTATCTAGGGGCAATCTAATTGATGAGAAAATTATTTTATTACAAAATATTAAGAAAGAAATGATGTATACAAATCAAAATATTTTTATCAATTTAACAGAAATCTCAGGATTTTTTTTATAGAAATTTATTGATTTATAATATTGGACAAAGAAAAAGAAAAAAAAAAGGAAAATTTCTTTAATTATGTTTTTCTTTTTGTTTTCTATAGGTCAAAAAAAAAGTGCTACTCATGAGTATAAACTCAAATTGATTTATTAAAAATCAATTTTTGTTGTCAAGCACTGACTTGAACTTTGAATCTAATATTAGTCATAATTACCAATGTGATAGACAAAAAGGAAAAGTATGCTAGAGCTGAAGACAAAAGTAAAATATTTGGTTTTCCACAGTTCTATCTGTAATATAATATAGTTTGATTGTTTATCAATTCATCTGAGACACTCATTTATCATCCATTTGAAACTCATTTCTTATTCTATTAGCTGGTGTTTTTTTTACCGACGTCTAAATAGCAAAGAGCAATATTGCTAAGATTTTTTTCTCGTTGAATTTGTATTCATTCCAGTATCATATATTATGTTTTCATTATTGTCATGAGATCAATACGAAGTAGAGTCTGCTGATAGCTGGAAACAATCGACGATATCATTAATTACCTGAAGGCAACAAAAGCAACGAGAATTCTCGTTATTCTGACATGAAAAAATATTTTATTCCACCACAAAAATACAGACAAAACAAAATACCTTGAAAAGGATTGTATTGACATTGCATGACAGTTGATACATTAGAAAGTAAATTAAATTATACTATGATATGACAACTATTATCTCGAGTTTTCTCTACTATTTTCTTATGTTATATTAATGATGTATATCTGTCTACAAGAGTAACAACATTTATATTGTGATAGTGTCAGTTCTTTCCCAATATATTTGCACCGAAATTTCTGAAATAAAAAGTCCTAACTAATTAATTTCTTGTTTTGGGAAGCACACATAATTGCATATGAGACATAAAACAGAACTGGCCCGAGACAATCAACATGTGGGAAAGGGGTGTCACAAGTTTTTTTGGGAGGGTATAAAGATTTTTTTTTCTAAGAGATGCACGAAAACTTTTAGGTTCCGCTGGGTGAAAACAAAACGTTTTCTTGATCTCCAATACTTTAGTTATATCAGTCTTCTTCCACCAGATGCATGAAGTTTAATTTTTTGAGTACTGAAAAATAAGAAACAATGGATTAAGACACACCTATGACAAACAATCATTTGATATATTGTTTTCGTACTCTAAATCAACACAAACGTGATATTTTATTTTCAATAGAAAATACCTTAATCAACAATAAACACTATTAAAAAAAACCTTGTACTATTGCCAATTTTGAAAAAATATTTTGTAATGTCATTTCTGTTTTTGACACCACATGAATTATCAGTTATGCCAAATGTAAGTTTTCAACGTTCTGGAAAGCGTGCTGGAGAATATCTGCTCAAAAACGTTCTTTAAAGTGAAAAATGTTATCTAAAAGTGTAAAAAATAATCTATATTTTGAAATATCATGCTTATACAACGTCAAAAACTATAATAATCTATATACCGAAATTAATAAACTCTGTATTTCAATACAATCAAAACAATGCACGTCTTCAGTTATATTAAATCGCATAAAAAAGATAAAATTTATTAATTTATAAGATTCGATGAAATATATTAGCATATTAATTTTCTTAAGAATGATTATTTTTTTTTACTATCTAACAGATGGTTATATTTGTTTTAATTTTGAAGAAATTTAAAAGTGATATGTATATATTGGTTTTTTGTTGTCTATTAGTTAATAATGTATTCATGATAAAATATGAAAGAGTGCTTGAAAAGACTTTTAGAAGAATTACACACAAGAAGTTATTTTATAAATTGCATAGCATAATTTGTTTTTCATTTTTGGAATGATATAA